GTCTAGAGAGTCTGACAATGATCATCTTTAAATAGAAGGTAGATGGCCATTTGTCAAATATGTCATATCATGGATCTATGCTTCAGGTGGAGTATACACTAGATGGCCTCTGAGCCAGCTCTGTAATTCTATGATCTCCAAGGTCAATTGATCAATCAATGGCATTTCTTAAGTGTTTACTTCATAGCAGTAAGTGTTCCAAGGGCTAGAGATACAAAGAAAAGCAAAAAAAATACTGTCCCTGCTCTCAAGGAGGTCATATTCTAAAGGAGGAGAGAGCAACATACAAATAAATATGTTCTTATAAGTTAGACACAATATCAATGGAAGATAATTGCAGAGTCACTAGTTAGTAAGGGGAAAGGGAGTAAGGGGAAGGAAAGAACTCCTGCAAAAGGTGCAATTTGGTCTGATTTGTGAAAGAAGCCAAGGAAACCAGAAGGAAGAGATAAGGAGGGAGAGCTCTCCACACGTAAGAGATAGCCAGTGAAAAGTCACAGAGTTGCAAAATGGAATGTTGTGTGTGTGGAACAAGAGGGCCAATATTGTTGTAGGTTAGAGAACATGGAGGGAGTAAAATGTAAGAAGACTGGAAAGGAAGGAAGGAGCCAAGTTGTAAATAGTTTTGAATGACAAATACAAAATTTTGTATTTTATCCTGGAGGTAATAGGGAGCCAATCAAGTTTATTGGGTCAGGAAATGACATAGTCAGACCTACACTTTAGGAAGATCATTTTAGCAACTGAGTGGAAGATGGATTGGAGTATGGAGAGCCTAGGGGCAAAGGGACAGAGAGATCAATTAGAAGGCTATTGCAATGGTCTTGCCATGAGGTGGTGAGAGCCTGTACCAGGTTGGTAGCTATGTAAGTGGATAGAAGGGGAGATAAGGAGAGATGTTCTCAATGTAGAAATAACAAGATTGACAATAGATTGGATACATGAGGTAAGTTCAAGCGAGGACTCAAGAAAGACACTGAATTTGAGAATCTACAGGACCAGAATGGAAGTGTTACCTTTTATAGAATAGTAGAGTGTTTGGGGTGGGGGATCGTCTAACTATAAAATCATGTGGCTGCTTTTTAAAAAGACTCATTCATCCTACTAAATTCTGTCCCTTTAAAGTAGTCATTTTGATAGGTTACATTTATTCTAATGTAAAATATATAGTCATACCATTATTTAGACAAATGTAGACTCCTCACTGGGAGTCATCATCAGAGACAGTTAAGGAGCCCTGCATGCCACTGATCTCTTCATTTTATAATCACACATTTCTCCACCTCTACCCCTTTCCTTTTGTCCATTCTTAGCCACTCACCAATCAATTAATGAATCAACAAAGATTTACTTGGCACTTACAATACACCAGGTACTGTGTGCTAAGTAAGGTTTATATAAAGACAAAAATAAATAAACAAAAATAACCAGAGAGGTTAAGCAATTTAGCCATAGTAACACAGGTGGCAGGTCAAAGAATTGGGATACAAATCTACTTCCTCTGGCTCCAAGTTCAATACTTTCCCCTCCACACAGCACTAAATTGGGACTGGACCATGGGGCTAAAACTAAAACTGAGATTGCAACTTTCTTCCCTAAGGGCAGAAAGGGATAGTTTGGTGGATTGGAGTGGGGAGGGAGGGCAGAGAAGGAATGGGAGTTTTGCATGTAGGCTGTTAATGAACTAATGTTGCCTTGCTTTTCTATGAATTATCAATTTCACCACTGTCATGTAATTGATAGTAAAGCAGCCTGGCATTTTGAGAGAGAAATTTAGAGGAATTGGAGTTCATGAAAATGAATTGGAGGTGATTGAAATCAAACAAGGCTGTGGATCCTTGAGAATAGCTTGGATGTCCTACATCAGTATCAGTAGAGATATCATTCAAATTATGTTAGGTAATGACATCACCAAAAGTGACAAAAAGTACAGAGACAGAAGAAACCTCCTAGGACAGAGCTTTAAGAGACAACTGTGGATAAGGGATAGGACAAGGATGATAATCTAACAAAAGAGACTGAGAAGGCACAGCCATAAGACAATAGGAGAATGAGAGGATGCATTATGAAAACCAAGGGAGGAGGGTGTCCAAGGGTATAGGGTGGTGAACAATTTCAAAAACTAAGGAAAGACCAAGAAGGATGAGGACTGAGAAGAGGCCACTGGATTTAGCAGTTAAGAAATTGTTGGTAACCTCAGAAAGAGGAGTTTCAGTTAATGATGTGGACAAAAGTGGAGGGGGGCGGTGTCAAAAAGTGAATAGAATGTGAAGAAAAGAAGGAAATTAATGTAGACAGATTTTTGTAGGGAGGAGAGATCTAGTTTGAGGCAACAGTAGATTCAAGTGAAAGTTTATTTGTTTTTAAAGATGTGAGTAGGAGGACACTTGGACATATTTGTAGGCATCAGGGAACCTAGTAGAAAAGGAAAGATTGAGGGGGCAGGAGATGACTGAAGGGGAAAACTCCCAGAGATAGGATTGGATGAAATCAATAACCCCAGTATAATAGGTTGGTCTGGGCAAAAAGAAGGCCCACTTCATCCTCAAAGACTGGAGCGAAAGAGGAGAAAATGAGGATGATAAAGATAACCTGAAGTGTAGAACAGGAGAGAAGAGGAAGCTAAAGATGGATAGCCTCTATTTTCTCAGTAACATAGGAAGTGAAGTCTTCTACTGTGAAGTGAGGGAGAAGAGGTGGTATTGGAGGTCTAAAGAAAGAACTGAAGGTATGGAGCAGTAATTCAAGGGAGTGAAGTAGTGAGTAAATCAGGGCAGATTTAGTGGTTTGCTATGCGGCAGAGAGAGCCCAGTTCAAGTTAAATATCAATTGCAGTAGATCCAGTTGGCCTAGTGATATGACTGCCTCCAAGAAAATTCAGTAGAATGTGAGTAGGACCAGAGAAAAAAGATGGTGGGGGTAAACCAGGGCTAGGGTTTGGCAAGGCAATGAGTGATAATGGGACAAGGGGGTAACTGATTCAAAGGACAAGGGTAGAGGGGAATGTACAGTTGGATTTTGAACCCTTTTAAATCTGACTTCCTCAAATCTAAGGCAAATGTCCCGTTTTGCCTAGCTTTATTCTTTCTTTTTACTTCATTCTCCTAGCTTTATTCTGTGTCATACTCCATGGTGATGAAAGTTACTTGCCCTAAAGTTTCCAGTCTTTAGCAACTAAAATAGTTTTACTTGTTATTTCCTTTATCTTTTGAACAATCAAATTATTATTAAGGCAAGTCACAAACTTACCAGTTTCTTTGTTTTTGACACAAAGTTTTAGTAGATATTTGAGTCAAAGCCTTTCCTCCCCTATTCCTAAAATAGTCTGCTTCCATGTCAGGTTTTTTAATGTTTCCTAGTTCCTAAAGCCACCCTTCTATGCAGGAGGTCTGTAATATTCCCCACAACAATATAACTTCTCTATCTCTATTAATTCTTACCCAAATGTTCTCCACCATGATTTCCCATCTTGGAGATATCCAACCATTCCTTTAGCCTTCTCAACCTGGAACATTTCTCTATAAAGATCTCACCCTACTCTCATTGGAGAGTTCCTCCTAGGGCCTCTATTTTGTGGAGGTACTCAAACTTACCTTCATTCCTCTCCTGGCCCTGTTCCTAGCCTCCAAACTTTAAAACCATACCCCTGGAGGGTATGGTTTTAAATCCTCTTCCCTCTTTTCAGCTATTTTTATGTGTTGCTTTCCCCCATTAGAATATAAGCTCCTTGAGGGCAGGGGCTGACTTTCTTTTTGCTTGTATTTGTATCCCTAACACAGCACAGTGGCTGGCATGTAATAAGTACTTAAAAATATTTATTTCCTTCCTTCCTTAGGTTTCTGGATTTCTTCAAATCAATATATCTTAAAATAAAATTCTATTCCATCTCACCCCATTCTTTTGATCTCTTCTACTACTTTTGAATAAGGTAAACCCTTCTGGAATCATATTCCAGTCAAAAGTCCCAACCTATCAATTTTTAATGTTAAATTTTAAATTAACTTTTCCCGATTGATAGGGTCTCTATTCCACCCATACATTGTGCATAAAGGCATCTGAAGCCATGTGGTTTATTCCTACCATTCTCAGATTTGTTTCTCACAAATGACTGGTCCTCTCTTTTGCCTTTCTTCTTCCTATGTACCTACTCTTCTCTACACTGTCAGGTTTATCAGATCTATGAGGACAATATCCTTCCTTTCTCTCTATTTTTTGCTTCAACCTTTCTTGCTTAGATTTGTTAGGCAATTAAAAAATAATAATAATAATAATAATATGCCTTCCTTCTACATTATTTCCTTATTGGAGATGTTTGGTTGGATGTCAAGGACACTGAGTCAGACTGGGCAAAAGTGTGAAAGAAATAAAATTTTGTCTCCTATTTATGGTTTCTAAAGGTATATTTTAATATTCTAAGTGAGTCTTTCCTCCCCAAAGAGGGACCCAAAATCCACTTTCTAATAGGATCCATCTCTTTATTTGAGTGGATTTAATAAGCTACGTAGTGGTAGGGCTAAATGTTGGTGTTCCTAGATAATATTTGCATTTTAGTAGCAACCTTTAATTTCATAACCCAAGAAATGAATGTGGAAATTTCAGGGGCTGTGGTAGGCCATTAAGGGAGATTTGGGGGACCAAGGATTTTTCCCACAAACTGCTCAAATCATCCCATGTGGGTATTGGGAATTTTCCTGCTATCTATTCTCTTTCTCCCCTCCAGTCAGATTCTTTCATTTGCTTCCACCAGAAGAATCTCAGGCTATCCAAGGCTTAAGGATGGTTCCTGTTTATAAGTCACATAAAAATTCTTGGTCTGAGCAAGTGGATTGTTGATGCCTGTTACTCAGATTCTTTGCCTTGGTAATGAACCCCTGTTACCCAGGTTCCTTGACTATCTTCTGAGCCCTGTTGCCCAACATAGATGATACTGTTGGGGACCTGACCAGCTTTGTGGTATCATATCTTGTCCTTTGACTCTACCAATTACTTTGTCATTTCAGGGCTTCTAGAAGGACCACATTGTCTATCAGCAGCCCCTTTGGGTGGGTGGCATAAGAACCAGCAGATGGTTCCCACTTGTTACCAATTATTCCCTCTTCATATCCAGTTACATCTTGTAGAGATTATCAAAGGTATTGTCTGGACTAAGTCTGGACTCCTGAATTGTGACTGTTTGACTACATCACAGAACCCAAAGAAAAGCCACCGTACAAATGTGGGTAAGTTGCCTTCCTTTCCTTGTTATGTTAGTTTCATGTACCCTGCCCAGAAAAGAAGGTTACAGGAGGACAAAAGAAAGAATAAGCACTACCCAACTTACTGGGCATAGAGGAATGTGTCTGTTTTATTTTTATTCCGATTAACATACATTAGAACTGCAGTGATTGATGTCTGAAAAAAGAAGAGAAAGTGAAAAAGGAAATTATGCCAGTGGGTATGGGGACTGAGCCAAGATAATTATAACACTGTAGTTTAATATTTTGTTAATCAGCCCTAGATTCTAAACTCAGGAAGCAGTAGCATGAGTATGGGCAAAAGTTGTTTTGTGAAAAGTAAAAAATAGCTGGCAGCCATTTAGGTGGAATGGCCAAGTTTTGAGGACCATTTTTGAGTGACCAGAGGGGACATTTCAGTCTTGGGGAAAGATGGCATCCCAGTTAGTTTAGACTATGTGGAAATGGCTCAAGTAAAGCACAATCTTGTAGCTTATTTCAATAATGTACTTTCAGTTACTCCAAACACATTGTGACTGCTACTTCCTTATGTGTTTAGAGGAGATAGTATGAACCCAAATTCAAACAGACATAAATGTTGCACATGACTATAAGAAACAATATTTAATATAAGAGAACCAACTGTACTTAAAGAATTTAAAACATTTATATTTAGATTCTCTTGAACCATCATCTTAAAATTAGAAGCAATCTTAGTGGTCATTTAATTCAGCCCATACATGAACAAAATTTTCCTCTACAAAATCCCTAACAAATGTTCATCCAGCCTCTATGTGAACTTTCACTACCTTCTGAGGCAGCTATTCAATTTTTGGATTGCAGTTATAGTTAGGTACTTTTTCCTTTACAGAGAAGTCTTTCTCATAAACTTCTAACTATTAGTCCAAGTTTTGCCCTCTGAGACCAAAGCAAAACAAGACTAATCCATCTTCCACATGACAGCCTTTCAAATACTTGAAGACTTCTCTCATATTCCCTCTGTATTCCTATTTTTCAGGCTAAATAACCTCCATTCCAACTTGTATGGTGTGCTGTCAAGTCTCCTTATTGTGTTGGTTGACACTTTCTAGAAATTCCCCAGCTTGTTAATACTCTTCCTAGAATGTGTCATCCAGTACACAGTATGAACTGATCAAGGCAGGCCTTCTTCATGGTGCCTCTATTAATGCAAAATAAAATCTCACTACCTTTTCTGACTGCATGTCCCACTGTTGACTCGAATTGAATTTACAACCCAATAAGCTGTTCAAATTGTTGTTGTTGTTGTTGTTGTTTTTAACATAAGCTGTGTCTCCCCCTACCTCCCCCATCTTTTACCTATGCAATGGATTTTTAGGACATAATTGTAGGCCTTTAAATTTACCCCTATACACACTGAATTTTATCTTATTATATTTGATTCATATTAGCCTGTTAAAATGTTATGGGGCTCTGATGATTTCATCCAACTTATTAACCATCTGTTCCAGCTTTTTATCATCTACAGAGTTGATTTATATGCCATGTGCTCCTTCATCCAAGCTACTGATAAAAATGTTGACCGGAACAAGGCCAAAGACATATTCCTGGGATAATTCACTATAGACTTTCCTTCAGGTTCAATCCTTAGTAAGTGCCTCCTATAATAAGGTACTGTCCAAGGTGCTGATAACATAAAATGAAAGATGGCTTTGTATCTACCCTCAAGAAAATTCCTATCTATTCAAATTAATATTACATGGACACAAATAAATATAATATACATCAAAGTGTGGATGAGAAAAATCCAGAAAAAAATGTTCTAGGAAAGTTTGAGAAAGTCCAAGATAGACCATCCAAATGTCTTACTGAAATCCAAGTATACTATATTATGGCATTCCCCTTATGAACCTAGGCTAGCCCTTAGTGATCACTACTACTTTCTGTTCATAGGGTTAACCATATGCATTCAGAGAAAGAACTGTTAAAAAGAAGTATGTATAAAATAATTTATATACATATATATGTACATATATATTTATTATATAATGTGTGTGTCTAATGGTAGCTATATTGGGGAGGGGGGAGGGAAAAAGAAAAAAGAAAATTACATGATAACTTTATTATATATTTAAAAGGAATAGCAAATTGTACATAGTAAATTTGCAGTTTCAATTCAATCATCTTTTTTTCTATTCTACTATGTTGCAGAAATGCTTGTTTATTTCTTAAGTTCAGAATAAAATAAAGTTTAAAAAATTTTTAAATTAAAGATTAAAATGGAAAAAAATAGTACATCTTAGAAATTTTCCAGGGATCAAATTCAAGCTAGATGGCCTATGGTTTAAACGACCCTCCTTCTTTTTAAAAACTAGAAATTAGTCACCTTTAGGTCTGTGACACCAGGGGTGTGCTGGCAAATGTTTAACAACCAGTTCTTTAGAAAAAAATAAGTATGCATGACATACTTTCAAGCACAATCTGCATTATTAACATTTATCTTCATTACTTTCTCAAGTCTAGAAAACAACAAAACAATAAATCAATCCCTAACTTGTAGTGTTTTATGATTTCTGAAGTATAAGTACTAAAACTGAAAATTTAACAGTCAGCTCTCATGAACTGATATGAGCTGGCTCTAGCACACCCTTGTGTGGCATTTTCCTAAGTCTTCGCAATTTTTCAGAAATTGTCAAAATAAGCTCTGAATTCAATTTTAAAAGTTCCTCAAGTAATCTGGAATGTAACTCATCTGGCCTGTTGCTCTCTTACTGCTTCCTCACTTTCCTTGTGTTAAAGTTTCTGATTAACCATTTTTGTTCTATGTTTTTCAGCCTGGAAAATAATTTGCCTTGATAGAGAAAATAGAAACAAGAAAGTAGGAATTTCTCTGGGTTCCGTTGTCATGCCATCCATCTCAAGTGTTCAGGATCTTCTTGCAATCCTCTTACCTATGGCATAATTTTTTAAAAGTCATTTTTGTTGCTCTTAGCATTCAGCACAAATCTTAGCTTTTTCAGGAATTTAATATTCCTGACATTATTGTTGCAGGACTATGCCTCACTTTTTGTATTCATAGTCAGTTACCTTTCCTACCACTTATCATTTGTACATGTCTTTTTTGATATTTGAGTTTTTTCAAGTGCAGGAATATGAATATCTTCAGACCATTCCCTTTCATCTTCCTCATTTGAATCATTGGAACCAGCTTGCATTTATATTGTCACAATTTCATTCTTTTTAAAAAATTTTGTAATTTTGATTACATTAAATTAAAAGGTTTTTGGACAAACAAAGCCAATGCAACCAAGATTAGAAGGGAAGTAGAAAGCTGGGAAACAATTTTTACACCCAGTGTTTCTGATAAAGGCCTCATTTCTAAAATACATAGAGAACTGAGTCAAATTTATAAGAATACAAGTCATTCCCCAATTTATAAATGGTCAAAGGATATGAACAGGCAGTTTTCAGAGGAAGAAATTAAAGCTATCTATAGTTACATGGAAAAGTGCTCTAAATCACTATTAATTAGAGGAAATGCAAATCAAACAATTCTGAGGTATCACCTCACAACTCTCAGATTGGCTAACATGACAAAACAGGACAATGATAAATGTTGGAGAAGATGTGAGAAAATTGTAACAATAATGCATTGTTGATTGAGTTGTGAACTGATCCAACCATTCTAGAGAGCAATTTGGAACTATGCCCAAAGGGCAATCGCATACCCTTTCACCCAGCAATACCACTTCAAGTATCCCAAGAGATCATAAAAATGGGGAAAGGACCCACATATACAAAAATATTTATAGCAGCTTTTTCGTGGTGGCCAAGAATTGGAAATTGAAGGGATGCCCATCAATTGGGGAAATGGATAAACAAGTTACGGTATATGAATGTAATGGAATATTATTGCTCCATAAGAAGTGATGAGCAAGTGGATTTCAGAAAAATGTGGAAAGACTTACATGAACTGATATTGACTGAAGTGAGCAGAACCAGGAGAACATTGTACACAGTAACAGCCACAATGTGCGATGATGAACTTTAATGGATTTAACTCTTCTCAGCAACATATGGATCCAAGATAATTCCAAAAGACTTATGATGGAAAATGCTATCCACATTCAGAGAAAGAACTATGGAGTCTGAATGCAGATTGAAGCATACTATTCTCTCTCTCTCTCTCTCTTATCTCTCTCTCTCTCTCTCTGTCTCTCGTTTATTCTTTCTCATGGTTTTTCCCTTTGGTTCTAATTCTTCTTTACAAGATGACTAATGTGGAAATGTTTAATATGATTATACATATATTGCCTATATCAAATTGCATGCTGTCTTGAGGAGGGAAGGGAGGGGGAGAAAATTTAGAACTCAAATCTTATAGAAGTAAATGTTGAAAACTAAAACCAAACAAATAAATAAAATTTCAAAAACACATCTCATCCCTATTTTTTATAGCAAAATAAACTTGAAATTGAACAGCAAGATGTCACTTGCCTAGTGCCACCTAACATAGTAATGGAAGAGTTTAGACTATAATAATAATAACTTTACTAAAAAAAGTTAAATTAAATTAAAAATTAAAATAATAACTTTTCTCAAAATGGTGCTATGAAATTGTGTAGTTATTGTAACTCCTATGTCACAGATAAGAGAAGTGAGTCTCAAAGACTTGCCCAAAATAGATAGATAGATAGAGAGATAGAGAGAATGGTGAATAGATGGATGGATGCAATGAATGGCTGAAGCTCTAATAAGCACCATGTATTTTAATAAGCATGATGTACCAGCCACTGGGGGGTATAATAAATATAATCAAGACAGTCCCTACCCTCAAGGAGTTTATAACCTAATGAGGCAAGACAACACCTAAAGGGGAGGTGAAAAGGGCAGGGGAATGTTGTCTATACAACACCATTATTTGGAGCTAGCTATGAAATGGCATCCAGAAGCAGCTAGATGGCTCAGTGGATAGAGCACTGGGCCTAGAGTCAGGAAGACTTAAGTTCAAATCCAGTCTCAGACACTTATTGTGTGACCCAGGCAACGCACTTAATCTCTATTTTCCTTAATTTCTTTATCCATAAAATGAGCATAATAATAACACCTACCTCCCAGGGGTGTTGTGAGGATCAAATGAGATCATATTTATAAAGTACTGACCATAGTGCCTGGTACATAGTATTACATAAATGTTTATTATTGTTATTGTTGTTGTTATTATTACCAGGAAGTAAGTTTTCAGAGTCAGTATTCAGTATTCAGTCAGTGGAGTCAAGATGGTAGGAGTAGTGAGAAGTGCATGTGAGCTTCCCCAACAGAACTCCTCTACAAAGAGCACCAGACTGAGTTCTAATCAGGAAATTCAAGAGGAAAAAAAAATAACAGCAAGTTGTATTTTCAACCCAAGTCAGCATAAAGAAATAGGGAGGTCTTTGGACATGGGGGATGGGATTTGGCCAGAAGCACAGAGAATTACAATGCACAGAAAATAAAAGAGAACCAAGAATGTGCACTAGATAAAAAGAGGATCCAGAGTTATACAGGAGGACCATGACCTTAAGCTGGATGTTGAAACAAATACCAAAGGACAGATCTATCATTCACTACTCAGTTTCATGTCATAGATCCAAGGTGCAATGAAGAAGGAACTTGTACCTAGAGGCTTTCCTCCTTCCCTGTTCCAGGATAAGGCATGTTTAAGGACTCTGGACTGTGTACTTAGCAAGAAGCAAGTTTAGAAGCAAAAAAGAGTTGTGTGTTTCTGTCCACTCCAGAACAGTCTGAAACCTCCAGTGGAATAATCAGGGCACGAATCCAAGACAAAATGGGAGCCTGAAATTCTGTCGCTCTGAAACCTGCAGAGCTTTCCAATTCACTGGTAGTGGCTGAGATCAGTAGCAATATACTGGAACTTCCAACAGAGGGAAGCCAAAAAACTAACAAATCCAGGTCAAGAACTTGCAGAGCTCATACCAGGAGGACAGTGATCAGACTTTGCCTTGAATGAGACCTCTTTTGGAGGACTGAAAACTTATAGATCCTCAGTCTGACCTATCCCTGAGATCTTGAAATACAAGAAATCAGCAGAAGTACCCAAGAAAACAAAAGTTCAACCCAGATATTCCTCTATCCCTAGAAATGCATAGATTCCCAGACCTAACACAAAGTTTAAAGTCAAGAAATGGACTGGAATAATAAGCAAACAAAATAAGAATCTGACCATAAAGGGTTACTGTGGTGATAAGAACACTTAAGAAACAAACCCAGAGGAAGAGAATGATTCCAAAACATCTATAAGCAAAGCTTCAAAGAAAAACACAGCTTAGGCACAAGTCTAACTAGAATTCCTGGAAGAAATGAAGTGAAAGTTGTTTTTTTAAGGGCTACACAGTTTAAAAAAAATTAAGTGCTAACAGAAGATATGAGAGCTAGGGAAGAAAGATGGAGAAAGATAATTAACAGCTTGGAATAAGAAGTACAAAACCCAAGGGGGGGAACCTGAAAAAAAGAAGAATTAACCAAATAGAAGCTAATGATAACTTGAGACAACAAGAAATATTTAAGTAAGTCAAAAGTCTGGAAAAAAATAGAAGAAAATATAAGGCATCACATAGCAAAAGTAACAGATCTGGGAAAAAAAGATCAAGAAAATTTAAGAATGATTCAACTTACTGAAAGCCATGACCAACAAAAGAGCCTAGACATCATATTTCAAGAAATTATAAAAGAAAATTGTCTAGATCTCTTAGAACCAGAGGAAAACGTATAAATAGGAAGAATCCACTAGTCACCTCCTGAAAAAAACTCCAAAATGAAAACTCCTAGGAATAGTCTAACCAAAATACAGAGCTTCCAGGTCAATTAAAACACCCACCCACCCACCCACCCACACCCACACCCACACCCACACACACACACACACACACACACACACACACACACACACACATTGAAAAATCAGCCAGAATTAAAAAAAATGTTAAGTACCTAGTAGTCACAGTAAGGATTACACAAGATTTAGCAGTTACCACTTAAAAGGAGTGGAGAGCTTAGAATATTGATACCTGAGAAGATAAAAGATCTGTTTAGGCTTATAACCAAGAAGAACTTACCCAGCAAAATGAAGTATAACCCTACAGGGCTCTGGGAGGCAAATGGACCTTTAATGAAGTACAGGACTTCCAAGCATTATTGATGAAAAGATCAGAGCTGAGCGGAAAGTTTGAAATGCAATCACATGAGTTGAGAGAAACACAAAAAGGTAAACATGAGTTGTTACTCATAGGGACTAGACAAGGATAAATTGTTTATATTTTAATATGGGAAGATAATATTTATATAATATATTATATATGTGATATACAATATATATCCCCTCATAATTCTATTTGTATCAATGGTCATAAAGGGACCCATATTAGGCCTGGGAGTGGATAGGCCATGTTTTTATTATCTTTAAAAAAAAAAAAAGAACAGAAAGGAAAGGGAACCAAAATACAATGGAGAGGGAAGGGAGAGGGAATATGGGGAAAATTATCTCACATAATTAGAATGTGCAAGTAGAAGTCTTTACAAACAAGGAGAAAGGAATAGGAGGTGGGGTTGTTGATATGACTCATGTAAACTGACCAAAGGTGGAGGGAATACAGACATATTGGTACAGACATATATTTAATTTACTGGGGAAATGGGAGGGAAAGGGTAGAAGGAGTGAGCTCAGTACCAGAACTTTAGGTTTGGTGTAATTTGCTTATGTTCTCCTGATCCTTTTCTCTTTTCTTCACCTAGAGTCACATAAAAAGTTCTCATTCTTTCTTGTCTTCTAAGCCCCTATTTGAAATTCATCCTCCTTAATTAGAGATTGTTTTGCTTAAGACTAAGCCCTCTCTCTGATGCATTCATTTTCCTTCCCCCCTTCCCTCCTATTTCCCCACTGAAGTTAAAAAAAAAAAGGCAGTAAAAAAAAAAAAAGATGGCAATCATCTTAGGCAAGTCAACAGCAAAAATAGGCTTCATTAAAAGAGATAAATAGGCAAACTATGTTTTACTGAAAGGTACACAGACAAATGTCATGGCGTCTAAATAATTAAAGTAAAAGTTAAATGAGTTACCACGAGAAATAGACAACTATAATAGTGGGGGACATCAATTTACCCCTCTCTGACACAGACAAATTTAAACAAAAATAAATTAAAAAGTGAAGGACCTGAATAGAATTTTTAAAAAGTTAGATATGAAAGACCTCTGGAGATTACTGAATGAGAAGAGAAAGGAGTA